GGACTGGAGGTGGAGGCCAGGGTGGGGAGGGGCTTGCCTGAGGCTGCACAGAGGAAGGGCCTGGTGTGGGAGAACTTGCTCACCTCCTCCTGGGGGTCCACCACTGGCACCCACTTGAAGATACGAAGGGAAGTGTCGCCCACAGTCACCCAGCGCTTCTCCCTGTGGGACGGTGGGGGGACTGGGTCAGAGAGGCCTGAGGAGAGAGCCACCCCAGAAGCTGGACACATCTGGGGATACCTGTAGAGGTGGTGGTGGTGCCGGAGGGAAGGGGCAGTTTTGCTAATGGGACATAGTTAGAGAGAGAAACCCTGCAGACCCGAGGGTATAGATGGGGGGTGCCTCTAGAGAGAGAGTGTGACTTGGGGTCATGGCTCTGCAGACCCCTGGGGTATATACGTGGAGAGCGCGACTATGGGCCGGGCTGGGGACCAAAGCAATGAAGATCACTCTGCATACTTGCAAAAGGAGTGTCAAAGCTTCAGGGGGCGGGGCATAAATGGGGGCTCCAGCCTCGGGAGGGCAGGGCTGGGGAACACGCTTTGTAGACCCCAGGGTGTAGCCAGGAGAAGGAAGATAGAGCCCTGCAGATCCAGGGCGCAGCTGGGAGGCACACCTAACACCTGGGGTCCACAGCTGGCGAAGGGGGGTAGACGTATCTGGGGGAGGAGTGGCCCATCGTGTCCCGTCCCTGGCCCCGGGGCAGCGCTCACCATCTCCGGACCTTCTCGATGGTCGCCATCACCTTCTTGATGTCATCCTTGGCCCGGCTCCGGGTCTCGGCCCGCACGGTCCGGCCGGCCATGCTGGCGGGGCTGGGGCCGAGGCCAAGCCCGCGGTTGGGCCGCCTCCCGTCCGGCTGGCTCAGGCTCGGCGCCAGGCCGGGGCGCCGCTCTCTCGGCCTGTCTTCTCTCCGGGAGTTGGCCGCGCCCTCCCTCGCTCCCCAAGGTTTCCGCGAGTCCCCGCCCCGCTTCCTGCCGCCGCGCCCCGCCCCGGCCCGTCCCCGGAGCGGCCGGGCGGCGCGGGAGGCCAGAGCCCAGGCCTGGAAGCCGGCCGACCCCGCCCCGACCGGGCCCGCCCCCTCGGGGCACCCGGACGAGCAGCGCCCCCTGCCCGCCGCCGAGAGGCAGGTTGGGGGCCGCTGGGCGACTGGACGCGCGCGGTGGGGCTGCGGCCTTGCGTTCAGACCACGTGGGCGCCAGGGGGCGCGAGAGGTTGTGTGTCCTGTGTGCTACCGCTGCGCGTGGGGTCGTCCCTGGAACGGGGTGTGTTGTGCGCGTGTGCGCGTGCGTGGGTGTGTGTCCCCCTCGCCAGGCTCTCTGGTTCTACAGTGTTCAACTACCCATTCATTCAACAGTCTACTGACTGAGTGCCAGTTACGTGCCAGACACTGCAAATATGACTGACGCTCCACCCACCAGAATGGCTAAAGTGAGAATGACGGACCTTACCAAGTGGAGGCGAAGAAGTAGAGCAACTGGATCCCTCATATTTCTGGGGGAGTGTAAATTGGTAGAGACACTTCGGAAAGCTGGTGGGTTTTCGAGTGAAACTCTATGATCCAGCAGTTCCACTCCTAGGTCGTTAACACCCAACAGAAATGCGTGGGTATCAGAACCAAGGGGCCTGTACTGGAATGTTCATAGCTCTATTCATAATAGCCTCAGACTGGAAACAACCCATCAACAGGGGAGTGCAAAATGATTGTAGTCTGTTCAAACCATGGAGGACACAGCAAGGAGAGTGATGTCCTGCTACCCCCAACAACTGGGACAAGTCTCATGAAAGAAGTCAGATACAGCACTACACACTGTATGATTCCATTTATATAAAGTTCAAAGCAGGCAAAACCGGGCTTCCCTGGTGGCGCAGTGGTTAAGAATCCGCCTGTCAATTCAGGGGACACGGGTTCGAGCCCTGGTCGGGGAAGGTCCCACATGCTGTGGAGCAACTGAGCCTGTGTGCCACAACTGCTGAGCCTGCGCTATAGAGCCCAAGAGCCACAACTACTCAAGCCTGTGCCCCTGGAGCCGGTGCTTCGAAACGGAGAAGCCACCGCAATGAGAAGCCTGCACACCGCAACAAAGAGTAGCCCCCCGCTCATCGCAACTAAAGAAAGCCCGTGGCGCAGCAATGAAGACCAAACGCAGCCAAAAATTAAAAAAAAATTTTTAAATTTAAAAAAACAGACGAAACCGATTAATGTTGTGAGAAATCAGAATAGTGGTCAGCCTTGGTACTGGGAGGGGCTAAGAGGGGGCTCTGGGAACTGGTCATGTTCTGTTTCTTAATCTGGTGCTGGTTCCCAGGGCATATTTACTCTTGGAAAATTCGTCAGGCTGTACCCTTATGATGTGTGTACTTTTCCCTGTGTATATTTTACTTCAATGGAAAGTTTACTTAAAATGAGTGTTCTTGGTTGATTTTGTTTGAGGCTGTGTTTGTCAGCAGATGCCACCTTCTAAATTTCTGTTGTTACGTGTGCATGTGTTTCAAGGGTGTGGCTATTGTGTCTGTGTGTTTTGGTGTTACTATGTTCAAAGGGGTTAAGGTATAGAAAGGTGGTTATGACAGCATTTCTGGATCCAAACTGCTGGGGTAAAATCCCAGCTCTTCTTGTCCAGTGACCTTAGACAAGTCACTTATTTCTAATTCCTCAGCTATAACATGGGAGTGAGTTAATACCTGTATAACTTAGAACAGTGCCTTGCACATAGTAAATACCCAACAACAGTTTCTGTTAAAAAAATGTGTGATGGTGACTTCCCTGGTGGCGGAGTGGTTAAGAATCTGCCTGCCAATGCAGGGGACACGGGTTCGAGCCCTGGTCTGGGAAGCTCCCACATGCAGCGGAGCAACTAATACCATGCGCCACAACTATTGAGCCTGCATTCTAGAGCCCACGTGCTGCAACTACTGAAGCCCGTGCGCCTAGAGCCTGTGCTCCGCAGCAAGAGACGCCACCGCAATGAGAAGCCCGCGTACCGCAACGAAGAGTAGCCCCTGCTCACCGCAACTAGAGAAAGCCCGCGCACAGCAACGAAGACCCAATGCAGCCCCCCTCCAAAAAAAAAAAGTGTGTGATGGCCCCACCTGCTGTGCCCTCTGCCAGTTCATCTCTTTCTTCCTTTATTCTGACAGTTGTCTGCACATGGCAATGTACTCACAGACACACAGGTCTCCTTCCCAGTTTCTTCATTCACAAACCCCATAACAAGCTGTTGTCTATCGTTTCCCCATCAGACTGTGAGCTCCTCAGGGGGCTAGAGACCAAGAATGGATCATCTCTGGGTCCCAGAGCTCAGGAGAGTGTGGGTGCCTGGGAACCATTTGTGGGGATAAGTAAGTGTGTACAGACCGTTCAGCATTTGTCTGCATCAGGTTAGTGGTTTGACGTGTGGGTATGACTCCCTGTACCTGTCTCTTAAGTTTGTTCCTGTGTGAAAACCCTTCAGTAGATGCGGGTGTGTCAGAAGAATTCTCTTACTGGGTCTGGTAAGGTGAGGTGAGGTGGCCCCCTAGTAGGTGTGACTGTGAAAGCAAGGGCAGGAGACATCTGAGATAGGCCGGGAGGTGTATGTCCAGGCAGGTGTGGCCTAAGCCTGAGGGCCCCCACCTTGGCCTCTCACGCACCCCGCTCTCCCCTCCCCCAGTCAAGAGGAAGGGCAGCACATTCCTGTCCTGCCAGCTGCTCCCTCTCCACCTCCCACCCCTCCCCAGCTTTCTCCGAAAAGCAGCCCGGGCGCCAAGCCTTCCCCCAAGTCGGAGCCTGAGCCTTCTCCTCCCATCTGACTCAGGGCTGTCTCCCAGGCCCCGGCAACCCAAGCCTGCAGGTCCCGAGTCCACTCTGCAGACAACCTGCCGCCCCCTTCCCGACTAGGCCGTGCATGCAGGGAGCTGAGCTCAGGGCCAAGGAATCCTGCCTGGGGCGGCGGAGGTGGGGTGGAAGGGGGTGTAGATTGTTGGGGTCTGAGCCCTGATTGGCTACGGCCGGGCCACGCCCCCACCCTTTTCCCCCTTCTCCCCTCCTCGGTAGGGGGGCGTGGAGGCAACCGGGATCAGCCTGGGGCCAGCATGAGCCGGAGGGAGGGAAGTCTGGGTAAGGGGCTGAAGGGCCGGATCCCGAGCGCCGAGGGGAGCAGGGGTCAGAAGGGCTGGAAGCTGGGGTCTGGGGCCCCGCCACCCCTAGGTCCGGGAAGGGAGCGGCCTGAGCGGGGGAGAGCAGGGCCCCGGTGTCAGGTAACGAGCGGGTGAGTTGTGCGTCAGCTGTGGGAAGGGGCAAGCGCCAGAGTTTAGAGGAGGCCTGGGGCTGTGACTTCAGGGACTTGGGCTCAGGAGGTAGATTACCGGTTCGAGTACACCCTGGGGGAGAATTGGGGTCGTGGCTGGGGCAGGACCCCGGGACCCTATCTGAGTACCGGGAAAGAAGCAGAGCTGGGAGCCAGAAGGAGGGGTAAAGTTAGGGGCGGAAGTCTTTGGGCCACAGGGGCTGGTAAGTGACAACAGGAGACGAAAGTCGAGGCTGCTAAGGATAGGGACCCGCGGGGCAAACTCTAGCGAGGGGCGGGTCGGGAGTTGCCGGGCTAGGACTACAGTCCCCAGCATGCCCTGGGCACGCGCGCTAGGCGTCTCGGGAAATGTACTCTTCTTCCCGGGACACCACCCTCTAACTTGTGCTGGTTAAGGCCGGTTGCTGATTCATTGAAACTGTACGTTGCCCAGCCCACGGTTTTGCATAGAAGGACCATCAGGGAAGAAATGGCACTTCAGTATCCCAATCTGTAAAATGGGCTTAAAGGCTTGTTTCAATTTTAAGTTCTGTGCTTCGATGATGCTGAATTCCACCAACAATCACTGAGGTACAGAGATACGTGAGCCCTGCCCTCAAAGGGCTCCCATGCTGAGGCAGATTCTCACAGATAAGAGAGATATTAAAAGAACCGCCTTGGAAGTATGAACAAATGGCCTTAAGTAGAAGGAAGAAGTTAATTTAAAGGAGGGGTGAATCTGGAGGCTGCACTGAGGAGGCAGTATTTGAATTTGGCTTTAATAGGATTTCAACCATGATTTGGGGACAGGGAACACATTTCAGGAGAACAACCGTTTGGCAAATGTCTGGTGCCCTATTTTCCCTCAGTTGGAATGGGACAGAACCTGCCTGGCTTAAAAGGTGGAGAATTCAGAGTGGAGCTTCCGGGTTCAGGAAGAGCCAGCCTGGAAGAAGTGGTCAAGAAGCAAGGGGTTGGGGTGCCCTCATTCCTCCCCCCCTTTTCCCACCAGAGGACCCCCAGGCTGACTCCTCAATCTCACCCCTTCCCCACTTGGAGTCCAAGATCCAACAGACACACAGCCTTGCCCGCCTCCTCACCAAATATGCTGAGCAGCTGCTCCAGGAATATGTGAGTGGGGTTCGGGGTGTGGGTACCAGGGGCCTGGGGAATGGGGAAGTACATACAGATCAAGGGGTCCTTGACCACCCATTTTCTCAATCTCACTTCACAGCTGCAGAAATTGGGGCTCCCAAGAGGGGTTAGTAACTGGCCCCTGGCCACACAGCAAATTGGAGGAGGACTGTCTGTGCCCCAAATGCCCCTCCGTTAGCCTCAGCATGGAGGCTCCCTCCTTGGTACTTTAAGACAGAAGCAACCTGAGAGAGTGAAGAGAACTCTGGTCTGGGAGTCATGAAACCTATGTTCTTAGGCTCTGTGTGATCTTGTCATTTCACCTCCATGAGCTTGGGACTCCCCAGTTGTAAAAGGAGGCAGTTAAGGGAATTCCCTGGAGGTCCAGTGATTAGGATTTGGGCGCTTTCACTGCCAGAGCCTGCGTTCAATCCCTGGTCGGGGAACTAAGATCCCGGCAGGACCAAAAAAAATAAAAAAGGAGGCAGTTGAATAAGATGAGCTGTGAACTCTTCTACCTGTGTTATGCAGAGAAGCTAAGAAGGGGTTTCAATCTAGGGGTAAAAATGCCATCCCAAGAGGACACTTTTACAGAGGAGAAGGATCTGCCAAAATCTTTGGTTGGCCAGAGGACACTGACAAAGGAAACTAGATAGTTCCCCAAAATACTCTGATGTAGTGGAGGGAGGGTATAGTTTTGAATCAGATAGACTGTAGCCCTGCCAACTTGTTGTGACCATGGGCAGTACTAATAACATTAAACATAATAATTTAATAATTATGACAGCAATAGTAAGATAATAAAGCTAGCTTTGTAGTCCTACCAACTTTGGTTCAAATTCCAGCTTCTGCCCCTTCCTAGATGGATGACCTAGGATAAGTCAGTCCCAATATCCTCATTTACAAGACCATGATCATTATCATCACACCTATTATTGGGAAGATTAGAAATAGTGTGTTTAAAGCAGCACAGTGCCTGAACCAGAAGCAAAATGTTAAGAAAGGATAAATGGTATTGTTATAGCATCTTTACAAATTACAAATCACCTTTATCTTTTCATTTGTTCATTCAATTCACATGACAGTTATTCATTGAGCCCCTGGCTGTGTGTCAAGCAGGTGCAGAAGTGGGGAAGAATGGGGGGAGGGAGTGAAACAAACTCGGTCCCTGCACTATCTTCCGTGATTCTCAAGAGGTCCGTGGTAGGAAGGCAGGACAGGGAACTGTTCCCCCATCTTACAGAGGAGACCGCTGAGGCTCAGAGAAGGAAACGGTTTTGCACTGAATGGCACAGCTAGTAAGTGGTGGAGACAGGATTTGAAGCTGGGTCTGTCAGATAGCATTAATAAAAGAGCTAACATTTTTTGTGCCCTTCCAATGAGTCAGGACCTGCCTTAAGCATTTTAACAGGCTCATAACTACCTTATGAAGTTGATATGGTTATTATCTCCATTGAGGAGATGAGGAAACAAAGCCGTGGTGAAGCGCACGGTGGTTTTTGTTGTTTTGTATTAGCTCAAACACAGCCTCTCTGTTGGCAGGAGTGTGTCATTTACGAGATGGGGACACTGAGGACCCAGGAGAGGGGTGGAGGGCTGAGTCCCGGGCGGAGGAGCCGCCCTGACTGCCGCGTCTCCGCAGGTGCAGCACCAGGGAGACCCCTTCGGGCTGCCTGGCTTCTCGCCCCCGCGGCTGCCGGTGGCCGATCTGAGCGCCCCGGCCCCGGGCCACGCGGGCCTGCCAGTGCCCGAGCGCCTGCGGCTGGACGAGGCGGCGCTAGCCGCGCTGCCACCGCTGCTGGACGTCGTGCGCCGCCGCCAGGCCGAGCTGAACCCGCGCGCGCTGCGCCTGCTGCGGCGCCTGGAGGACGCGGCGCGCCAGGCGCGGGCCCTGGGCGCCGCCGTGGAGGCCGTGCTGGCCGCGCTGGGCGCCGAGACCCGTGGGCCCCGACCGGAGCCCAACGCCATTGCCGCGGCCACTGTCACCGCGGGCGTCTTCCCGGCCAAGGTGCTGGGGCTCCGCGTGTGCGGCCTCTACCGCGAGTGGGTGAGCCGCACCGAGGCCGACCTAGGCCAGCTGGCGCCCGGGGGCCCGGCCTAAGAGCGGGGCACGCGCCGCAGCTCGCGGTCCCCTCCTGGGCCGTCTTCCCCTCTCCATCCCTCTCCATCTCCAGCAGCGTCTCTGTGTTCTCCGACCGTCTCCATCTCTCTATTTGCTTTGTACACTCTCGATCTCTTTTTCTCCCTGGGGCCTCCTTGTCTCCGTCTATGACTTCCCATGTCTATCACCCTTGCTTTCCCCCTCTTCTTCTCCATCGCTTGGGCCTGCCTCGCTGAGGATCTCTGTCTCCCCTTCTCCCCATCTCTTGCCTCCTCTTGGCCCCATGTGAGCATGTGTACATCTGCGCCTCATCTCAAGGGGACACCTGGCACTCTGTTTCCCTCTGTCCTTCTCTCTGTCCTTTCCTGGCCAGGGACATGTCTGCTGACCCTGTAGTGGGTGGGCTCCTCCAGACAAATTTCAGCCACCTTCCCCCAGGGTCACTCCACCTGCTGCTCTCCCCCTCCCACATCCCACCCTTTGCGGCCCTGCCTCCTCTGCCTTTGATGTCCTTTCCCTTCTTCCCGTCCCTCTGCCCTATCCCTGTACCTTCCCTTCCCCCCAAGTTAGGTCTACTGGAGAGAAAAAAAAATCACCCCTTAAAAAGAGTTTTATTTACGAGAATAAATTAATTTTTTGTAAATAAAATGTTTAAAAATAAAAAGAACACTAAAGTTACCAGTATATATAGTTGTTGAAAATGGGGAGACACCTTTAAGGAGAATGAGGTCCTTGGGTTACAAACTGGTTCCCCCAGACATCCGCAAAAGCCACAGTATAAATAGGAGATTCATGAGAGCCCCAGGCCAGGGATGCCATCTCTCAGCCCAGAACAGGAAGTGGATGTGTCCTGAGCAGGAAACAGATGTGACACAAATCCTTAGTTTTTCAAGAATCGGACGTCCATTGAATAAGAAGTGAAGCCCCTTAAGATGGGAAGTTGGAACAGTGGCCATAGTCGGAGAGGTAGACTAGGGGAGGAAATGAGCTCCAGCAAGAAGGGAGGCCTAGTTGCTCAGAAAGTCCATATCTTCATACAGGAAGTGAGGTAGACAGAGACAAGAAGGCAGCCCCTGGACCTCCCCGAAATTACAGGAGGGAGAAGGTCTCAGGGAGAGCCCAGGAAGGAGACCAACTGTACTGCCCCGTAGAGTGGGAAGTGAAGCCACTTCAAAGAGATACTTTTTTCCACCCAGGAGGCGAGCAAACGGCACCACTGGACTGGTAATCCATAAAATGATATCCATAGAGTCCCACCCAGATCTGGAAGGGAGGCCATAGGACCTAGGCAGGAAGGCCCAGGCAGTGGCGACTTGAGGCCTGGTTACCAGGAAATTTTCCCAAATACATGGTACACAAGCCCTGTCTCCTAGACAAGATGTGTCTCCTTTCTAGCCAAGAAGCAAGGCAGAAAAGAGTCCGTTGTGAAAGGGGAAGTATTGCAGCCTCTGACGGGAAGTTCCACCTCCTCTACCCAGGGTATTTGGCCTTGAGCAGAGCCAAGTCCCTCACAGCTCGGTCAGTCCAGTGGCCATATTCCCAGGTTACTACATAACCTCGACATTTCCTCTCGAAGGCCGAGGCCCCGAAGGGGACAAGCCCGAGAGTGTCCTCTTCTGGGGGGATAGGCAGGCCCAGGGCAGTCATGATGGCAGCCATGTTGCCCAGCAGGCCTTGGGCCCTGAGTGTTGCAGCCCCTAGCTGAGCCAGAAGGATGGGACTGCCAGGGTTCAGGTCACTCTGGTCATCCCCCACGAGCTGGAGGTGCTGGGTCAAGGCCAGGAAGGCCCCCTGGGCACAGCTCAGACGCTCCCTATCATTCAGCGCATGCCAGGTCTTGAAGGAGACGGCGGCAGGAGGCAGGCTGCTGAGCTGGAGCTCTGGCGCTGAGAAGCCAGGATCACTAAAGGGGCTGCCTTGGCACTGGAGCTGCATGAGGGACAGAGACGGGAGTGAGGAGGCCAAAAGGCTGCCCTGGGTCTCCCCTGACTTCACATCTGCCTTCCATGAGACTGGCATCTTCCCAGCGGGAGTTGACATTCCCGGCCTCTCAGGGAGTTGGTGAAATGTTCTAGCACAGAGCCCGGGCTCTGTTAGGTTCCAGTTTGGCCTCCTTCACATACAGGTTGTGCAACTTTGAATCACAGCTTCAGTAATTCCCATGTGGCACTATTATGGTGAAGATAAGTAATATATTGGGCTGGCCAGAAAGTTAGTTCGGTTAATGAATACATTGTTCAATAAAGTTCTTGGTGAAAATGAAAGATGTGTCTTTTCTTTTTTCTTTTTTTTGCAGTACACGGGCCTCTCACTGTTGTGGCCCAAAAGATGTGTCTTTTATTTTTACTCAAAACTGAACAAACTATGGGGCTTCCCTGGTGGTGCAGTGGTTGAGAGTCCGCCTGCGGATGCAGGGAACACGAGTTCGTGCCCTGGTCTGGGAAGATCCCACATGCCGCGGAGCGGCTGGGCCCGTGAGCCATGGCCGCTGAGCCTGCGCGTCCGGAGCCTGTGCTCCGCAACGGGAGAGGCCACAACAGTGAGAGGCCCGCGTACCGCAAAAACAAACAAACAAACAAACAAAAAACAACTGAACGAACTAGTTGGCCAACGCAACGTATAAAGCACTTAGCACAGCATCTGGCATACAATAAGGGCATTAATATTGTTCACGAACTATATATTTATATTAGAATCATGAACACTAGGACTATGTTACTTATTGCAATATTTTCAATATAAATATATTATTGACAATGTATAATAGTTACAGCCCTATTTCCTTTTTATTCACAGCATTTAGTGGTTTATGTTTGTTCATTTTATTATAATCATTAATAAATAATTATTAATATTATTAAATTTAGCTGAGTGACTTCTCCATTAAAGTTCTCGCCTCCACAAACCTAGGTCCACAGAATTTTAATGCACACTGATAAATCCCCTAATTGATAGATCATCTGGTCCTACATCCCCATCTTACAAGTGGGGAAACTGAGGCTCAGGTTGCCCAAAGCTACCCAGGGTTTGGTGGATATGAGACTAGAAACTAGATTAAGTGACTTCACATGGACCTAGAATATAACACAGCAGAAGAGTTACAAACCCCAGGGCCTCCAGGGGCCAGGCAGATCATGTCACTTGGGGAAGAGGGCAGGACTAAGAGGGGGGTGGGGGTGGCAGGAGGCCAATAGGATCCCTGTGCCTGTTTTTGACAGGTACTCATACACAGAATCTGAACAAGCATTGCATGGCCTAAACAAAACATCTGTGGGTCAGACCCAATCAGGAGGCTGCCAGTTTGAACTTCTAGACCTGAGATTTTGTGACCTCAGGCAAATTTTTCCCCCTCTCTAAAACTCAGCATTCCTTATCTGTAAAATGGGTTGTAAATCCACCTCTCAGAACTATTTGAGGAGTCAGTAAGACAGTGAGGCTAAGGACTTCCCCAGTGGTGCAGTGGTTGAGAATCCGCCTGCCAGTGCTGGGAACGTGGGTTCAAGCCCTGGTCCGGGAAGATCCCACATGCCGTGGAGCAACTAAGCCCATGTGCCACAACTACTGAGCCCGCGTGCCACAACTACTGAAGCCCATGCGTCTAGAGCCCATGCTCCGCAGCAAGAGGAGCCACCTCAATGAGAAGCCTACGCACTGCAACGAAGAGTAGCCCCTGCTCGCTGCAACTAGAGAAAGCCCGCGTGCGGCAACGAAGACCCAACGCAGCCAAAAATAAATAAATAAATAAATTTTTAAAAAAGATAATAAGGCTAGACTTCCCAGCATGGCTTAGGCTCAAGCAAGCACGGGGCAGGCTTCCCTGGTGATGTAGTGGTTAAGAATCCACCTGCCAATGCAGGGGACACGGTCTCGAGCCCTGGTCCAGGAAGATCTCACATGCTGTGGAGCAACTAAGCCCGTGAGCCACAGCTACTGAACCTGAGCTCTAGAGCCTGTGCTCTGCAACAAGAGAAGCCACCGCAATGAGAAGCCCGCGCACCGCAACAGAGAGCAGCCCCCAATTGCCACAACTAGAGAAAGCCCGTGAACAGCAACGAAGACCCAACGCAGCCAAAAATAAATAAATAAATATATCAAAAAAAAGGAAAAAAAGAAAGCACGGGGCATGAGGTAGTTGTGGAAAGAATCATGATTCCCCTAAAGCCTTTCCCTCTATGTGCTTCCTTTGAATCTTCTAACAGTCCTGAGAGGTCAGCCAAGGCAGGATCACCAGCCCATTTGGCGGATGAGGAAGCTAAGACTGGGAGAGAAGGAATGGCTTGCCCAAGGTCAGCCAGCCATCAGTGACAACGTTCCTGGGAGTATGTCTCTAGAAGGCAGAGTCCCTATACCCTTGGACCCGTGGAGGAGCCTTCCTCTGGCCTTGCTCTGCTTCCCCTACCCAGAGCTGGGCCGGGAGGGTGGCGCCCTTCTCCCCTCATTCCCTGCTCGTGCTGTATCACTCACATAAGTCTGCAGCAGTGTTGAAGTATTCTTCTGCATGTAGAGTGCCAGGCTGTAGGCTTGACTGATGGGCTCAGCTGGGGAGATAGGGGCTCCCAGACTGAGGGGTGGCAGCAGCAGGGTCAGCAGGCAGAGGGCGGCTGGCAGGAGAAATCAGAGGTCAGCACCTCGCCTGCCAATTCATTCATTCATCATAACAGCTCCTCAAGTGGGTACAGCCCTTGTGGCCTACAATGATCTTGTGTATCCAAGTCAGGGCAGAACCATCCTTTAAGCCCATTATTTCCAGCCCAGAATATCCCCCTGAACTCCAGACTCATGTGTTCAACTTCCCGCTTGACATTTTCCCTTGGATATTAATAAGCTTCTCAAAGTCAAAATATCCAATGCTCAAAAAAAAAAAATCCAATGCTCAGCTCAAGATGCCCTCTTCCCCTTCCTCTCCCAGCCTTCCCCACTCAGGGAAGAGCACGTCCATTCTCCCAGGTGCTCAGGTCAAAACCATGGGGTCCTTTTAGACGCCTCATTCTCTCCTTCTCTTATGTTCAACCCACAGTAAATCCTGTTGGCTCTGTCCTTAAAAGGTGGCCAAGAGTTCTGTTGTTGTTGTTTTTTCCAGCCAGACTGTGCAGCCTGCGGGATCTCAGTTTCCCAACCAGGGATCGAACCTGGGCTACGGAGTGAAAGCCTGAAATCCTAACCACTAGGCCACCAGGGAACTCCCTCAGTCTGTCTGTGTTTCTTGATCTGAGCACTTATGACAAGGATACCTTGACTTTGTGAAAATTCGTTGAGCTGTATACTTAGGACTTGTGCACATTTCCCTGTACGTATTCGTTATTTTCAATAAAAAATTTTAAAAGATGAAAAGAAGTATCTAGAAGCGAGCTACCTCTCTCTCTGCTAGTGCCTCTGTCTCCACCCTTGCCTCCCTCCGCCACCCCGCAACTCTCCAACTCCAGCTAGATCCCTCCTCTGCCCAAACCTTCCCGTGGCTCCCACCTAACACAGTGAAAGCCAGAGTCCTCCGTGTGGGCTACAGGCCTGACCCCTCTTTTCTGCAGCGCCCCGTGAACGCTTTGCCTTGCTGGGTCCTGCCGTGAGCACCCCACAACCCTACCCAAGGCTG